AAACACAAGGAAAAATACTGGAGTCCAGCACAATCACCCAAGTGACTGCGCTCGTGCTACGCCAAAGAGCTCATTTCGCACGTCGTCAGAAACAACGCTTACCAAGAAGTGCACCCCATGGATACGAATAATCTAAGGCATTCACTAAAAGACTAAGCAAATACAACCACCATGCGAGCTCCCGGGTTCGCGTCGTCATTACATTCACTGAGCCATCCCCATTTTGGCCCTGTCACATCACCTCACATAGTGCTGCGTGCACCGACTTAATCCGACCAATCCTCAACACCACTCGCAACTGCAGCGCTAGCCCACGGCACTGTGTACAGCATGGCTGTGCATTTGTGCATTACCCCAACCCTCATTGTGAGGGAGACGAATCAGCCACGTCCACGTTTAATTCAACAAGAACCTTCCTTCCACAAACTTTGCCAACCAAACCGGATACAAATTTAGCACAGAGTGCGTTCGAAGTTATCCACTTACACCCCCGTACGTCACCCTCTCAACAGGAGGATTATTACCTTCCTCACGTACACCTCATAAATGGCCTTCGCACGAATTCGGGTGCACTCGGTATGCCTATAAATTCTGTGGTAAAAGCATATCTTTTACCTGATTAAAACTTCAGACGCACAAAATGTTTACCATAAAGACGGTCGGCACACTATCAATCTGTAAGTGGACTTATCTCTCGTTGCAGGCGCTGAGGCTTGGTATCCTATATTTGTCATTGCCAATCACTGAAATGCACACTTATTATTTATCGTCACTGCAACTCTTACCAATATCTTGGATGAAGTTTTCTATCCTTGACTGCATGCCCCAGTAGCGAAACTCGACACGGCAAACCTTGTAGGAACACATAATGCGCTTGGGCAGCGGTTCATTAACAGTGCTGCCCGTCTTGTCCGGCTTGGTGCCCTGGCATGCGTACTTCTCTCCAGTAAGCATGGCCTTCTTGAATTCGGTGCGCCAATTGGCTGGGAGAGGGCCGCGTCCAGTCACTTGAGAAACGTACGTGGAAGGATCCTCGGTAGGCTTGGAGGGGGGTGCAGGGTCGGTTACTATATCAATGAAATCTACAAAGGACAAACATAAGCTGCATGCCTTAACACAAAATGGGCCAAACTTCTGAGACCATTCGCAATGATTAAAAAAGCACACATGATCCATGTTTTGAGTTTTGGAACGACACCAGGTTCCGAATTTGGATTAAAAAATTTGCATCTGTTGGTTAACGCCACTTTCACGAGGCAACTGAGGGAGTGTAGTGAATGTCTCCTGTTCCAGGTTAGCAATTTGACGTGGCTGGAGACAGGTCCCATGACGCAGACATATGCTTTGCTGCTGCTTTGGTAATTAGTTACTAACAATTATATGATTTGTGTTGTCAGTGAGTAAAAACGAATTAGTGGGTATTGAATGACATTCCAACGTCAGGTAAATTTAATGTGACGGTGGTAACAGCAAGTGGGCGAACTTAATTACGACCGAGCACAATCCCAAAACAAAGGATGAGAAGTGGGAATCAGTCAAATCTGAGTGTTTAATGATGAGCCTGCCGTGAACACAGAAAATTTCAAATCATGATTACTAAATTTGACATTGATATTTCAGTAATCTGCATAACGCATTCGAAGATACATTTTTTTCAACAACCGAAAAAAATTGCTTATGTAAAAAGTCTAACATATGAATGGCAATTAAGTCCTGCAATAGAACAATAGTTACAAGACGCGTCATTATTTAGACCAACATTAGAAGTGCACCATAGTTTTGGGATAAAAGGATGGCACTGACTTGGGAGTTAAGAAAAATTACTAACAAAGCATCGATGCGTTTGGCCAAACAAACGATTTGCCAGTCGGATGGAGCGGCTGATTTATGTACTTTATAATAATACCTTGAAAACATACTTTTATTACGTAGAAAATTGAATGTCTACCAGAGGAATAGAATGAGATGGTGAATAATTACGGGGGTAATGTTGTGTACTATTTGTTGATAAAATTATTTAAGGCAACTTTGCATCATTTGTGGGCATTTTGGGCACTTAAAAAATTCCCAGCGTGGTTCAATGAAAATAAGTACACAGATATCGAAAAAATTAAGCCGAACATTCAAATAAAGTGGTGGATTAAAAAGAAACAGATGTGGCAGTATAACGGCATCTGCGTAGACTGAGAAGGTGAATACCCTAATGATTTATAGGCTTGGGAAGATTTGTGTGGCAAGACAAGAGACTTTTTAATGGTAAGGGAAATCGCTTCAAATCATCCGTTGGCATCAGGTACGTGGTGTGTACTCTGATCAGCCCTTAATTGAACGGCGTTAGAATAATCCCATGTGACCAATCGATTCGCCTTTTCCTAGTACTACAACAGACCTACTGGGACTGACAGACTAACCTGGAGGTTCGCCTTTAGTTTCGTGGTCTTTTCAGCAGGGAACAAAAAACAGCTTCATGACGAAACCAAAACTGCTGGAAGCCTCGTCGCGTGTACCATATACTGAAGCATGGATTTCGTCAAATATGTAAGACTAGTGAGTACATAAAAACACGCTAAACTTAATGTAAGAGCGATATTTTTACCGACAATACGAGCGCTTAGTTCGCTAGGAGACATTTCGAACACATTCTCCGTATCACCACCATCGTCCAAGTACTTTGTCTCAATCTCGAGAGAAAACTTCTCCACGAAGGGGACTTTGTAGCGGGTCTTCGTGTAGGGGTAGGCGTTCCAAGCTTCCTCTTCCACACGGAGAGCTGAATCTGGTATTATGCTTCGCAACCAGCCTGGAGGAACGTAAAGAAGTTTCAACAAAGAGAATAATTACCGTGAATTGACTCCATTTAATAAGACGTGTGGCCAGTTATTTAACCAACTAGAATTAGGCGAAGAACTTTAAGCATAACTCAATCTGAGCAAATGAAGGCAGCAACAATTCATTAGCAAATGTCTTGACTATCACTGCGACCAAGAACATCACAGCAAGGTGTTTTCTAAAGACCAACAGAACAATTGGGCCACTTTTTCTTTACAATTCATTGGTCTACAGGCCTCAGAACATTAGTCCACAAATAATGACGCAATTGTTTTCATACAATACTTCCCAAAATGATCAAACAAAAGGCATTAGGATGAAAAAGAACCTCAGGAGAGATGATGATTCTGTACTAATCGATATTTGGAATTTTCGGAGAACTGGAAATTGCATATACTGAGTAAATTATGTTATAAAAGGCCTCAAGCGCGTCCGTGGAATGTGGACGCGTCATATAACAAAAAACATACCCCGATTTAATGGAAGACCTAAACATACCCGGTAAGTGACTTCCGACGTGGTATATTTTGAATGTGTATTGGCCATTTCCTCCAGGACCGTCTGTGTATGGTTCATTTTTTAATATTTCAACACCGCTTTCGCGCCCAGTACTCTCTTCGCGAGATTTTTTCTTAAAAAAGTATTTAAATATCATTGGCACTACAACGTGATACGCTTTCCGCATATTTATGTTGTCAGCATAAACTAACGGAGTTTCAAGACCATGATTGATAGAAATCAAGGTGATACAATTTTAAGAGAAATGTCTTGTGTTGGTTGAATTGATAGCTATGAAGGTAGACACATAAAAGTAAGTTTCTCGGATTTTCACTGCATGGTCAGGAGGCAACCAGGTAACCTCTGCACCTAAGCGTCTGAGGTGGGACGCGGCATTAAAGCTAGCTACCACGTCAAGATGGAGCCTAAATCTAAACTATGCATTGAAAACACAGAAAACGCAATTTAAAATCGGTATTCGACAGCACACATAATTTAAAATGGTGTTGGATGAGTCTCCAACTTTATTTATTGGACAGAATTCTTACTTGGATCATGTAGAGCTGTGCAATTCTGTACTCTTCCACAGTCATCGGCATGCATATTCGGTATTCTTTAACAAGCATGGTACTGAAGGTTATTCTGGCAAAAAATTAGACAGAAAAGTGTAAAGGTATGGAACAAGACACGCAACATTTACTGGGACCAAAGTTAATGTTCCTTAAACGAGAAAAAGGTAATTTTGCACGCCTACTTTACGGGACAACTATTGGACTAATAACTTAGTTCGTCATAGAAAATAACCAGATACAAGCTACTACTGTCATAAGCACCCACCTCGCCTGTTTAAGAAATGGGAAAACGCAGCTTGTTACACAGTAAAAACGTGGTGAGTGAGCACTGTATGTTTACTTAGGGTTTAGAGTTTATCTAAAGGGAAAACACAGACACCTTTTAGCAACAACAGCAGTTTTAGATTAATTCACTTGACAGAAAGATACTGATTTGGAAAATTGAGGTAGGACATGGAAAAACAACCAAAAGAAGCTTCCAAGAACTAAGAACGATGGAAAAAACTGTGTAAACCCCAAAACCGAATGCACTTCGTGTGAAAAGAAATGTAGCCCTTGATGGTACATGTCCATTTAAAGCGGGATTTCCTCTCCTACTTCAAAATAATTGTTTTCGAGCATTGCGAAGTTGCGGGGTATTAAACTATTTACCAAACACTAGCATAATAATATTTAGGATTAACAACACGAAATAAAATAAAAAACTGAAACCTGAAAACTTTAAATTTTAAAGGTATTCTACGGTCTATCAGGTACCAAGTTTAACTAAGGGCACACCGAAATAAGCCACGTATTCGATTGGTTGAGGCACCATAGTGAATCACAAGATGGCGCGAAAGTCAAGATTTTAGACGAAAGGAAAAATGGGACTAAGTCAACGAAACACCATATAAAGGTTGGTAAAAAAATTCTGAAGAAGAAAAGAAAAAAACCCTTAATTGCGTTTTGGTACAGTATATCATGCAAAATATGAGACTCGGCGTCCGACAAATGAGGAGATAGTTTGCTATCCAAGTTAGATTCAAAGCAGTTCTAACAGTTTGAAGCCAAATGTAGTCAGTCATCCCTACACCACATTATTACATCCTATCAAGTTGCAACCTTTGCTTAACGATACGACTTAAATCAGACCTTTTCCTAAAATTTCAATTCATTAAGATCAGAAAATGCCAAAAAACCATTATAGCGCAAAGATTCATATGCAGAAAACTTTGAAGGAATAAATTTGTGGTAATTTGCGAGCACTTTTAACTATCCCTAACTTAAGCAGATTTATTATTCTTTTGTTAAATCCTATAATCTTTTGAAAAAAGAGATTTTGCTGAGGAATGCTGACCCACTTTTGCCATTATTGTCGGAATGACTAAAAGTCCATATATTTTCGTTTTTAGGCAAATATATGAAATCAAGTACGTAATATGTACATTGAGTATCGAAAGAAACAGCAACGTTACAACAGGATGCAAAAAAGATAACAAATAAGAATTTGAAAACGGATTCGTTTAAATGCTTGGTGTTCATTTGAGTGTAGAACTGCCAATTTTTTTAAAATTTGGATAGTGAGCTAAACAAGGTTTCTGCGGGGCATATAATTGATTTACTCTATGAGTTTACGCTGACCGCTAATGCAAAATCAACTTATTTTTCCAAATTTCGGCATAAACAATATTTGGCTTTTACAAACCATGCCTATTAGCCAAAGATTGTCTTTAAATCTCGCTGTTCCTATGTTCTTGGGGTTCAATTGGTTGACCATGCGTATTTACAGAAAAACTGCTCTAGAATTTCAAATATTAACGTGAAGATTCGTTAAAGATTTTATAATGAAATGAAAAATAATTTGTTCGTTAGATGACTTTCTTAGTTAGTAACCATAATTATTCCAAAAATTAAATATTACTTTAGCAATTGGGAAACTCTGGATATGTCGGAATTCATCTCCACAAATAATATGTGTGTAATCAGGTTGCGATTTCGGTTGGACAGTTTCTTCGTAAATTTTTTTACTGTCCAGCGTAGAGTATCTAGGACAATCCATGTTAAAACTTATCACAAAATGAGTTACCTTGTTAAGATCAAAAGAGATTGGCCATCACTACTGACGCCGTTGCTACCCTAACTCAACTTGCTTTGCGCGTACGCATTCAGATACTCGCCAAAAAGATATTCCATTCTATAATTGGCTTCTGGTCCTCCTTTTATTTTAAAATATCAATCTGTGCTCAAAGCATTACCCAAGACAACTGCGATTTGCAAAGGAAGAACACTGGTGAACACCGGAATAACCTTGTGAAATTGGAAAAGTATAAGAAAAAGTAAAAACCAAGGAACATTCATCAAGCCCCGTCTAGACGAGTCCTTCATTCTCTTGGACCCGCAACTTATAGATTACTTTGCATTCATTACTGCTTGTTGTTGGATGCTGATTTTACACGTAAGCATTTAGACTCGGGCATGCACAGGATTAGCAACCTTCCGCTTAATTCAATATGTCACCGCTATTATCGGCGCTATACCGTTACCCTCTCAGAAACTAAAATGCTTAAAAGTTTTAATTCCGTAATATTCACTGCCATTACAAGTTCCAAAGGCAATATGTAAAACCGTCTCATTGTCTCACAATAAGTAGGCGATTAGCTTAAACACTTAGTAGACGATGGACTACTTCGTAAAGCTGCATTGTCCGTCGCAGGCACCTTTTATGCTTGCAATCAAACTAGTTCCGTTCTTGTTGGTTTGCCTACACTACATTAGATGCAGTGATTTTAATTCGAGGCCTTGTCTATGGATTTAATATTGAAGAACATCGCATGTGGCGTATAGCAACAAATGTAAATGGTTTAGATTTCAATCGCATTATTCAAACGTAATTAATGCCATTAATGTAAAATATTAGAGCCTCTATGAGAAAAGGACGAGTGCAGTAGACCACATTTTATTTGCCATAAATCTGGCCACACAGCTCAGTAAAATTGGTTCTCGTTATTCCTTGCCATTGGCTTGCTGTTGATCGTCTACGTAGGTCATTCAAACACGCACAAATAGGGGGTAGCTTAAGCGCCGAATGCTCAAAATTTTCGCGTTCTAGTCAGGTATAAAAACTGCAGAATACCCGAGCCCTTGTATGGAGGTGAATGACACAACAAAACAGGCTTTAGTCACCAATCGCAAGCCAGAACTACTTGTCAGGCGCTATCCATCCTAGTCCATTACGCTTGCCACGCCGCTCATTATACACTGGTTCTCATTCGAGTCCTTTTCTGGTTGGCTGCTTATCGTCTTCGCATGCCAGTGGAACGCAGACACAGGATTGGCTGATGCCAGCATGGACCAATATGTCTGCGCCCTGATCCCTCGCCACTGTAGGTTTCGGCCCCATGGTATAGTGAGGAAGAGAATGAAACAAAATGATTTTCTTTAATAAAGGATGAAACTCGCGAC